AACCTAGAAAGCTGAGATCACTGAGGATCATGCGAAACTTTTAATATCAAATGAGTAAAGCTTTTGATACAAACTGCAGCATGAGGATGCTCAGAAGAGGTGAGACTGTAACTGGTAAAAGATCTAAAATCCATCAACAGTTATTAAAGCGGTTGAAACATGTAAAATGAATCTACCCATAATCCTTGTTGGTCTCAGCTTTGTAGCTTTTTGGGTGTGACTAACTTTATTGAAATAAGTGTATACATACTTTTTATATTAATCTGTTTTAACATAAAAGTTATAAAATTAGAACAAAAAAATTTAATAATGGGTACAAATAAAGTTCTTTTTCTTAATAGTTTTAAGTGAGGGGGAAAAGAACGAATAATTTTTTTTGGTGATTTTGTGTTTGTTTTTTTTTTTAGCCTTTTTGCCTAAATCTGTTTTGCCAGGGAGGGGAGGAGCATTCTGTATTTTTCTTCACCCCCTCCTCCCTTAGGAAATTGTGTCCCATTCCTATGATTAGTATTTGATAGCTTAGTCATAGCACTTTTAGTCTCTCATTATTGCCGTTGACAAACGTGTCCTGTGATTTCAAATTCCCGTCTGAGTTTCTTTTTAATGGCTTTTCAGTATGGCTGAAGAATTCTAGTAACAAAATATTCGTTGGGTTTCCTGTGTAACCACGTGACTCGGGACGATCCTCCATATTGAAAACGTGTTTTAGAACGAGTAGTATGTTTTTTATCATAATACGTATACGAAAAACCTTGGCATAACCGAGTTTGAAAGCTTTCGTTGATTATAGCGTTGTTTGACAGCGTTTTATCAGGCTGTTTTACTGACTTGATAAACTTTAAATACGGAAATTGGAAAGAAGGGAAATTTTCAACAGTCGAGATAGATAGAAAAAATAGCTAACGTGATGTAGAGATTATCACCATATCAGTGTAGTGATACCGTATCACTTCACACTGATTTGGTTTTTATTCACGGGTTTATCACACGGATATCGACCCTAAAAATGCCTTTATCTCATTTCAGACCATGGCTCTCCAGACCCCTGGGGACATTCAGGTCAACTCGGCAATTCCTCGACATCATACTCGACTTCCGCCGGCACGTATGCCACCAGTTACGGCATGACAACAAGAGAGGGCCTGGTATGTATGACACCAACCACCCTTCTACCTGTGTTTTTTTTTTGTTTTGCTCGTTTTATTTTTGTTGACTTTTTTTCTCTTTTTTTTTTTTTTTTTTTTTTTTTTTTTTTTTTTTGCATTTGATTTTTTTAGAAGGACGTGCACGTTATGCCTGCACTAGCAAAGGCACCACTTCACCATCAAAGGGTGCGGTAACTAGTACCCAGACTTCTGTTTTACTGTTTTGAAACTGAGAAAAGGACTGGGCTCCGGGTTTGTCTTTTGTGTTTTTTTCAGCTTTAAAATGGTAAAACTCCACGCCAACGGTGTTTCCGAAGTAACTGTAACAGTTTTGAATTTATTTTTGAAATGAAATTTAGAGTGTTCTGTTTTGGACTGTTACACCTTGGACAGCAAACTAGCATTTCTTTCCTTTCTGTTGCAAGAAAACATTGCAATTTTTTTCTTTGAACAGCTCTTAAACTCAGTTTCAAAGGTTTTTTCCTTCCATAGACTACTTTCGAAATTAACTTCAAGTGAGATCAACTAAAAAATTTGAAACAAATTCCTCAAATTCCACCGGGAAATGGAATCGTATTGGCTTGACAAGTTTGTAGTTTACTGCTTTACTTTTAATAAACGCTGAATAATTTTGGTTTCATCGAGGTAAAGTTTCACTTGTAAGAAATAAGAACATGCATTTTATATCCATGACGCGCATTTCCATATTTCAGCAGTCTGTCGGATAAAGTTTTTGGCTTCTGTCAATGAAAATAGACCTACTTTTTCGAGGTACAATGTTTTTCCAATACATATCACGTGTCATTCTCAGGAGTAAATTTCTTTCATTTTAACGGCTGCGGATGATAAGGCACATGAATAGAGGCTTTGCGCCATCACGTGATGGCAGCCATAACAGGAGGCAGGGAAAATAGTATTTTTTCTCTGGGAAACTGAATTCTTTCTCATGTAATTCAGATTAGACCAGAATTAATTGTTCCTGCCTCCTGTCATGGCTGCCATCACGTGATGGTGCAAAGCCTCTACATGGATACAACTTAAAAAAATAATCTTATTCTCAAGGGAATGACAAGTGGTCCGTAATGGGAAAACATTTAGATTTAAATGTGACGGACACCAAAGCCAAAAACCCAGACGTTTTTTGAGCTGTGTTAATCGTTTAACTATAATGGCGTAAGATTTCCATCACCAGAACACTCTTCCTACACAAGCTACTTCGGACGTACTGGTTAGCTTTGAATTCGTTCATATTTGGCTTATACATCTAATCGAAACCCATGGGGAGTTCTGCTCTTATTGGGCACCCTGTGGTCGCTCACTCTTTTTCTTGACTCTAATTCAAAACTGACTATTTAAATCTTTTCGATAATCAGATGCAATCAGCGGTTGTCTTTGCTAATGCTTTCTCGTACTAATAATAGAACCACGTGTAACGTGGTATGAGATAATTTCTTTTATGCACAGGTTATTGGATTAATTATTGTGTAACAGTGCTTGAAAATAACTTCTTTTCGTTGAATTCTTTAAAAATCTACTCAAAAGTGACCCTGTTAAGCAACAGTGGAAGTTTTGCCACAGCATTACATGGCGACGTGCCTAACCGTGGACCACCAACTTATTTTTTACCAAAGCCGTTGAATCCTTTCCCGCCAAGTGTTTCCGTCAATTAAGATACTTTTTAGGAAAGCGTCCATTGTTAGCCAACAAAGGGACCAAAATAGGTATCACCTACGCAAATTTTTATCCATTTATTTAAAAAATTTTAAATATTTGCATTCACGTTGTGTGAGGTCACGTGCAAATGCACAAATTCTCGCTTTCGTTGGGTGGCCGTTGCMAGGCGCTTCGAACCTTAATTTGCTTTAGATGTACAGTAATATGTTTCCATTGTGAACCAAGTGTCATTCTTTGGAAAATAAGATTCTTTGTTTGAGAAAGAAACGATACTGAGGGTACGCCCAATTTCAACTGGTCTATTTACATCTTTCCATTCATTGGTTCACTGATCACACACACAAAGCATTTAATCGAGGCTGAAAGATATGAACAAAGAATAATTCAAATGTAAACCTTGCAACCTCGACTAAATGCTTTATTTTGACCATTGAATCGATACATAGGAAATGGTGAATAGACCCCCTCCTTGCAGCGCGTCGGAATGCAGCTCAATTTGAAGGACATAACGATAGGTTTCCAATTCTCAGGAGATTGAAATTCTTTTGTTTTGTCCTCCAAATTGAGCTGCTTTGRCGTCACATGCAAGGGTTCTATTAGATTATCTTGAATATTCCAAGAACTGTGACTTGTTTTTTTCTGACGTATGTACTAAGAATCTAAACTGAAGCGTTTCGCCTGTTGGTTGGTTTTCAAATAATTTGCTTTATTAATGAATTAATATTAAGCGCCGTGACAAATTTCGTGCTATCATTACTTATCTTGTCCTCTTCAAGCCTTAAAATGTTCTAAATTCCACGTTCGTGAAGTCAGTTTCCATGACGATCAGAACTCTGTGGGGATGTACGAGTGGCGTGGTGGTAAGAACACTCGCTTTTCACAAATGCGGCCCGGGTTCGAGTCCCACCGTGCTCGGTGTCGTATGTGAGTAGAGTTGTTTGCTGGTTCTTTCCTGTGCCTCGAGGGATTTTTCCTCCCGGTTCGGCTCCGGTCTTTCATCTCTCCACAAAATAAAAGAAGAACTTCTGAATTCTAATTCGATTTAACGGTAGCCTTCCGTCTCTATTGGGTTGCAAAACCTGTTCTCCCATCTTTCTCTCGCGCTCACTTTCTTTTTCCATTTGATTTTTCGTCTTTTTTTCTCCCTCTCTCTTTCTTTTGCTCACTTTATTCCTTCTCGTGCCTTTCTTTTTCTTTCTTTCATTTTCTCTCTTTTTCTCTCAAAAACAGCAAAAGTAAAAATTATTTTTTCTTCCTAACGGAACGATATTTGATCTTCATGGGAACTGACTTAGACATACTAGCCTTGAAATATTCTGTTTAACTAAATACTAAACCTTATCACTCAACCAAAAACTCTTTTCTACTGACTACAAGCGTTATATTCGTTACGTCTTCATTTTAACCTCTTGTTAAACAGTTTTCATACAGAGAAGATTTTGTATTACTGTCAAAAGTCGTGACCGTGCCACGCGTTCGCAGTATGGAACGGACAACGACCGTTAAATGTATACGGCACTCGAGATGTTGCGGCACGAACGTATCATGAAATGTTTAGCATTTTTACGAAATCTGCCTCTGTAGTAATCCTTTCTTGTTGTGCATGATTCGTAACCGCCATATTGGATGAATTCGATAAACCTCCAACATGGCGGCTGTCATGTTTTCTGGTAAATTCTTATCCTTCTGATTCATGTGGTTTTATTTTCGACGTCCATTCTGCCAAGTTACTAATGTTTTTATCGTGTTTATATTTGTAGAGCTACATGAGTCATAGTGAGGCGATGGACAGACTATCAGGACTGCCTCCCATGTCATCTTTCAGACAATCAGGAAGCATACACGGCCAGTCGTCTCCTTATTTGCATGCCGTCTCTCCTCCACTTAACGGCAGCGACCCAATGGGTATGTGTCGATCAATAGGGCATGTGACGTCATGACCACCATGTTGGTTGACTTGGACAAACAATGGACTCTTCTCAAAATTATCTCGAAAAAAACAAACAAGAGTAATGCCACAAATTTCATCGAGAAAAGTTTGTTTTCGTTTGTGTTTTCATGATAGTCTCGCTTTCAACATAATTTCGAGAAGGTCTGTTGGTCTTGATTTCTTTTGTTGTGTCACCCAACATGGCGGCCATGTCTTTTGTCCTTGTGCATGTGACGTCAGAGCCGGCATGTTGGTTAACTTG